GTGTCACAAAATGTTACGTTGTTTTAGAGTTTTGTCACTGTTTGAGTTAGAAATCAGTTTTTGTTGTGCTGTAAACATTAACAGTTTTGCAAAACGTATTAATTTTAAAATTTTAATTATCTAAAATAAATTACATTTTTGTTAAAAAGTTTGGTGATTTTTTTATAAAAATTTTTTGGTGTCCCAATATTTAGTTGTTAGGGCTCGTATGATGAGGATGACTGATGTAGTATGTACCTATTTAGTTCTATGCTGATGGATCTCTCCACAACACAGGGATAGATGGTTCATCAAGTACACTGCTTGGGAGTCAGGTCGAGTGTATTTGGGTCCGGCAAACCGGTAGGAGATAATGCTATTGCGTCAATGAGCCTTTCATATACTGTGGTTTCCCTTGCTCTATGTGAACTCCCAGCTTCTCACTGGTGTTGACCGTTTCTACAATGACTAGCTATAGCTCAGTTTCTCGTAAACAGGCTGCAAAATTCGGTACCGGGCACTTCTACCGCGTTGGTAATCGGCTGGGCTGGTGAGTCACCCTGGGGCGGCAAGAGACACGGGAAAATCTGGCGGTTGTGCGGGTGGGGGATACTTATCTCCTGTCCCGCCACAACCCGGGGAAAGTGGAAAGTTACCAAGCCAGCCCCATCGGTAACCCGAGCTACGGAGGGGTGGCACAGAGTCCTACGACTGGTCGTCGGACCGATTATGTCCTTTAAAGGTCCGGTTTGGTATCCCATACTTCAAAGGTTAATAAGAGGCTTTAGTAAAGGTTTACTAGTACCCACTTGACCGAAGTACCCCCTCGGCAGACAAAGCCTGGGATCCAGGTGCTGTCCTCCGGCGTTAAACCCTACTGGTGCTGAACTCGGGCGGCTAGTAAAAAGCTTCTTAATAGTGGTCTTCCGGGAAGGCTTTCCAAGGTATGCATGTTCAGGAGTCTCAACTTTTTGGTGGAAAAGGAAACTCGAGACAAAAACAAAGAAAATTTATTAAATGACTTTAGGGAACAAATACATTACAATAAAGTTAAAAATTAGGTTATTTACTATCAGTACTAATAAATATTTAAATGACTTCATCATTGTTGTTATAAATATCTGAGTATTCTGGAGAATCAGGCTCCTCAACATCTGATTGTAAGTAACAACCTAAATCAAAGTCAGATTCTTCCAGGTTTATAATAAAAACTCCCCACCTTAACTCTAGGGGGTTATATTGATAGTAGTAGTAGTGAGAAAGTCGCAAAACTCTGCTCACCATTAGCAAACAAGTGTTCATCTAGGTATATACTTTATATATAGTTTTTCACCGAATGGTCAAAAATTCGCCTGATTATGGACCCATTTTCTGTTCTCTTTTATGCAATTTCATCATTATACTAAATATTTTTTTTTGCTGAGCCAAAATTGTAAGACGTGTTTTTTGCTACACCTAGTGGGCGATCTCTTTGCTCTCACACAGCGATATGGAGCATTGTTCATTACAGTAACATTCTTCTTAGGCAGCTTATTTACGTTTTGGTATCAGGTGATTTTCACTCAGTTAAAAAAAGATTAACTAGACATTGTTTTATGGTAGTCTCTGTCATTTACGTTAATGTCCAAAAAAGGCTTCATCCATCTAAAAAAACAATTAGAACAATTAACATGAAGAACGTTTTCCTCCAGATTTTTCTTTGGCTGGTTACCCCCTTAAATCAGTTTCTTACAGGACTGTCATTTTGGTAAAGTCAAATTTCATGTAAGAACACAAAATTTCCGCTGGAAGACATTAAATAATTTTTTTTCACTAGCAGCCATGAAGCATGCAAATGTCGACTTATCTAGAGGTAACAAAGTTCAACTTTTGCGACCAAGGTTCAAAAAGAAGACTGAGGTTATGTACAGAATACTTGATGTGATTATTTCTTTAAAAATGAATAAATGTGTGCTACTAACATTACTTGAGTATACGCATGGTAGTTGGTAGACGGTGGAAGATAAAATGATTAATTCAGCGACAAGTGTAAACGGTTTTCTTTGTGTTGAAGATTTAGATTAAGTTTAATTAGAAATCAAAACAAAATCATGTTGCGTCAAAAAAGTGAACGTTTATTTTTACACTTTATTGTCTTATGGTTTCTACTAGTGAAAAAAATAGTATATTAACCACGGTTGTAAAGCCACTCCTAGACCTCGCGCTTTAGAGCCCTCGACGCTGCTCGTCTCGGGTTCTAATTTGCGCTCGGTCTAGAATGCTTGGCTTTGCAACCTTGGCTAATAATATACTATTTTCATGCACTAGTTTAGTGTAACTTCAAAAATTTGAATGTTACTTGAAGCTTTATTGTCCTTAAACGGGGCATTGTCAATATGATCTTTAAAAATTAATCTTTGAAAGATGTGTATTTAGTACGATTTAGTAAAAATGACTACTATAACACATGAGGTAACTGATAAATAATACTCCTAATTGCTTTAGAACTAATGACAGTGAAATGATTTCATAGTGAAACATATCAATTGGCACTGTATGATGTATGTTTTGAGGCTTTAAAACCGAGGTCTTCAGTCACAGAGGGACATAAATTGTTCAATAGTAAAATATTCGTTGCTTTTGTGAAACTCAAATATTTTTCGGGGCAGCTCTGAAAAAGTTATAATTCTGTAGGCAGTAATTAGTAACAGATATAATGATCTGGAAAAAGAGAAAGATATATTATGGACATGAATGCCGTTCACGACTGTTTTAAACATGCAATAGGCCAACATATTTTTTTGTGAGGTTGGCGTCCGGTCCTGCCATATGACGTTTTTTTTTGAAATATTCGCCTTGTTATCAGTGCTGTCCATAATTTAGGTAATTTACTCCTGGTAACAATGTTTGTATTGCTCGGTGTTATCAGTTATAACCTTAAATAAATTTATCACAAGACTGCCAACTAAACAACCGTGAACGGTTAATGCATAGGATATAAGATAAGAGTGTAGGTTTTTCTTCAAAATTTCACTAGTTTTAATAAAGAAAGAAAATAACAAACTTTGATTTATTTCAATATGCAAACTTTTTAAAATTTTAAAAACGGGCATGTTTAACTTACGGAAAATATTTTGAAATGTCAACACAAATTGTTCTGATAGATCACATTGGTATTTGTACAGTTTACCATATATTTTTATGGCAGCTTTTTTCATCTTAGCTCTTACTAGAAGCATTCGTTTTTTCTACTTTGTTCTATGTATTTAAAAAAAAAAAAAACAATTATTACTTTTAATTTGTATATTTTGACAAATATAACTTGCCATTTAATATTGGTAACAACACAAGAGACAAATTATTAGGCTGAATGTCAATGCTGCCAAGACAATCAACAACTGGTGCTTAATAGTCTGACTATTCTCGATTAAAAAAAACACGATTTTTCTATAGTACCTGAAAAGTCGCAAGCTAGCATGCTTGAAAGACAGATGTCAGATGTGACAGTAAAAAACCATGTCAGTCAGTCATTGTAGACAACAAAAAGAAAATTAAACATCGTCTATTCATCAGGTCTAAAAAGGTCTTGAATATAATGATAATACTGTTGAAGTATTTATTTCATTGTTAATTTAGTTACAATATACCATAGTGTTACGAAATAAACTCATATGGCGCTCCGGTACGACACCTATGGGCTTTCTAGTATGTACGGCGATGATGGGTGACTCATCGTCGGTGACAGCGGCCGGACGACGTTCGCTAAAGAAAAGCCTGAAAGCGGAAATCGCGATGGATACTTCAGAAAAACCTCCATCGCGGAATATCTAGAATCGAAGTATGGTTTTAAATAAAGGCGTCCTTCGAGAATGATCCAACGAATCAAGTTCAGTCAATGTTGAGAGAATTTGGGTCTAGTCAAATCCATTCCAGTCGAATCGGAATTATTGGCCGATTATAAATTACCGATCAACGTAATCATAGTTTAGGATTTATAATCAATTAGCACAAAACAGTCCTGGAAGTATTAAATTAAGAGTATCGATATTGTAATATCATTTTGAGGTTCCGAGCAAATCTGATATGACTATGCTAAAATATTTATTATTCCAAATGTGACAATTCTCGAACAATAAATTGTACTCGAACTGAACTTTACTATTAATTTTTGCATAGTTGGTAGTGTTAATGTAAGAAGAATTTTTACTGCTAATTTAAGTTTACTTTCAATTACTATCACTCTTGCAACAAAAATAAGTATTTAAGAAACTCAGTTACACGTTCCCGAAGTGAACTGTGTACAAAATATTGGAATGTATAGCGTACATTGACCGGCAAAAAATCTGTCACCCTGAAATATTGCACTGTTTCTATTACTATCTTCCATTTCTCCATTTATTTGTCTCTTTTTTTGGCTAATTTGTACATTATCTGTCAACAGCAAATGGTCTTTAAATAAAATAACAATCAATGACTAGTTAAATTAATACCCTTGCCGGTGAAAAAACCGATCACTCTGAAATATTCAGCAAAATCTCTTTTTTTTTATTTAACTGATCACTTTATTAAAGAACCATTCATTGTTGGCACAGGATGTATAAATTAGCGAAGAATAAATAGAATTAAATTTAATTTAAGAAAGTAACAGAACCAGTGCAATGTTTCGTGGTATAGCGTGACGGTAATTTACCATGGATTTAATGTAATTGTGTGTTTGTCTGTTAGTCAACTGTACAAACAAAAATAAATGACGGAAATTATAAAAAGTTTTAAACTGTGTAGTGTTACAGTTTAATAAGCGTCTGAAGTGAAGTAAAATGTTACAGAATCATGTACCACCTTTGTGAAAAAACAGTATAAGTAACCTTGACATACGAAAAATATGATAAAACAATAAATAAATCTTACAGAGTATACATTTTTATTACAAAGTACTTTGAGTATAATGATTTGATTCTTATATTGTTGACCCACTAATCTCTGAATTATCCTCTTTATAAAGTAGGTAAACAGTAGGTAAATAAATATTTTTTATCATTGAACTTGGTTTTTTGTTTTCACACTTATTTAACCCAGTTCTTGCGTGAAGCAACATTATTTGTAGCTATGTATTTTAAAATTGATTGCAAAGTAGCTTTAATTTCTGGAGGTGCTTCTGGTATTGGGTTAAGATATGCCAAGGAATTGCTACGTAATGGAATCAGAGTAGCATTCAATAAAAAATGTATAATAACAGTGTATATATTTTTAAAATTTTAGGGTGTTACGTTAGCTGATATCAACGACTACTTTGGTGAGAAAGCTCTTGAAGAAATTAGAAAAGAATTTGGACCCAATAAAGCCATTTACGTTAAAACGGACGTTACCAATAGAGAAAGTTACGAAGGTATGTAATGATGTAATGAAATTATATCAAGAATATATTTTAAATCTACATATTTATTTTCATATGAGGACATTTTTAAATGTAGAATTTCGTATACTTATTTACCAATTGCTTCAAAATTTTTATAAATAATTTAGGTGTTTGAGTACTTTAAAAATTATTAGAAGTACTTGGTAAAATAAGTTTATACTTTTTTAAAGTTTCCTTCAATATCGAATATGCCAAATTTTTCGTGAATTTCATTGCTATATATAGATATAAAATTTGTGTACAACTAATTATCTTGCTTAAATTAATGAAACGGCAGCTTATTTCCCACCAGAAAATAAGGTTCATTATCTTTTTAGGAGCCTTTAAGAAAACTGTCGAAGTTTTTAAAAATTTGGATATTCTTATTAACAATGCTGGCATTTTAAATGATGGCATATGGGAAAAAGAGATTGCTATAAACGTTGTAAGTATACATAACTTAAACACAAGTACTATATAAACCATTTATAAACCCTGTGTACAAACTTAGCGACACCCTTTTTTTTAGAACGGGGTAATACATGGCACTCTTCTGGGCTTAGAAACTTACATTCCCAAATATAAGAGTGGCGATGAAGGTGTCATTGTAAATATATCGTCGATTGCTGGTGTTAAAGAGTCCAACCACGTTCCCATATACTGTGCTACAAAGTTTGCTGTAATAGGTCTCAGCAAATCTTTTGGCCATATATTTCATTATAACAGAACTAAAGTAAAAATATTGGTTCTCTGTCCAGGAGTTACCGAGACTCCACTGATTTCTGATATTCACGGAAAGAGTTTGGGCCCACCATACGAAGAAGCAATGAATTCTCATCTTGGTGATTTACCGATTCAAAAGTTAGTGGATAAGTTATAACTGATTTGTTTATATTAATGAAATATTTTAATTGGTGTAACAAATATACAATTTTAGGCCCGAGAACGTAGCTGTCGCCATGGTGAACATTATTAAGAACGCACAAACTGGTACAGTATGGATAGCGGAAGGTGAAGAGGAGCCATATGAATTTATTTTACCACCAAGACAAAATTTTGCACCAAAATGATTAAGATATGTTATATACATGTACTTGTTATAGATATGTTTTAATAAATATTTTCATGCATTTATTTAATAATTTTGCTATTATACAAAAAATAATTTAGTGAGTAAAAAGAGTTCTAAACCAAAACTGAAAAATATCTAAAAACAACAGTGGAAAATTCAAAACGCGACATTATTAAAATGTTACTTAAAATTTAACACAGTGGACTGTTGCTCTTTATTTAATTTATTTAATTTTATATTATTAAAAACACCAAGCATTCGAAAATACATATTTCTTTGTTTAATTAATTAAATATCGTGGCATATTTTTGTATTCAATCACAACGTCCAACTACGAGCATCTCTGAATTTGTGTAATTATGTAATCACAAAATTTTGTACTTTGGCTCTGATGATGTTATCAGTCCTTACCGAAACATGTTAACCGTCACTTTAATATAATACTAATCATGGTCATTTTGAGAAAAAGATCCGAATTACTAGATTAAATTAGAGAAAGTTTTGGGTAAAATTGACGTACAAAAAAGATAAAAGGAAATAGAATATACATTAATGAAGACTGTATTAAAAACATACATACAGAAAAAAAATGATGCAAAGATGATGTACAATAATCTGCATATAAATGGGGAAGAATATAGCCTGAGACAAATGAAGGAAACTGAAATTATTGACAAATGTTATAAAAATTATGAGGAAAAAGGACAGACCAAAGGAAGAAAATATAATGAAAGATCACCAATGGTACATGAGCAAAAAAGAAAAGAAAAGTCAAAGATAGGAAAAAGTATACCCTATTGTAGCGATATAGCGGCAAAAAACTGGCGGAGGAGAGGAAAGCAAATAAAAAGAAAATTCGAAAACGATCTTGGCTATGGAGATGGTAGAAGATAGAAAAAAGATGCACAGGCAAAAGAAGACCGAGGGGATGGTAACAAGAAAGAGAATGAACGGTAGAACAGAAAGAAAACGAAAAGTCTTTTTTTGGAATGTCACCGGACTGAAGAATAGAAGAAGGTGACTTTTTGGAGTCTGTACCGAATTTTGATATAGTAGGTTTAGAAGAATCATGGATAGAAGTAAAAGTGTAAGAAAAGATGAAAGGGAAAATGCTAAGAAAATTTAATTGGATATGTCACGGGAGAAAAAGGGAGAACAAGAAAGAAAAGAATTAAAGATGAACTGAAGTGAAGAAGGATTAGTGATATGGACCATCATAATAAAAGGAAACAATGGCACTCTGGAACGGTATATAGTAAGAGCATGACAAAACAATGAAAAAAAAAAGACAAATTAGAAATAAATAATGACGACTATCTAATTGTAGGCGAAAATTTTAATGCAAGAATAGGAGAAAAAGAAGGAAGATTATGGAAAAAGAAGATCCAAAGATAAAAGTGAAAACAAGGAAGGAAAATAACTGTTGGAATTAGTCAAAGAGAGGGAATGGCAATAAAACTGGCGATGATGAAGGCTAATTAACCTATGTAGGGGCGAGAAGACAATCGGTGATAGATTATTTAATAGTGAAGGAAGAAACACGGGAAAAAATTTCGCAGTTCAAAGTGGGAGAAAAGATAGATAACAAAAAAGAGGAAAAAGAGAAGGAGAGAAAGGAAAATATGTGAGAATGATGTGGGATCAGAGGACAGTTTCGTTGAAGCTAATACACAAGTAAAATGAGATGAATTGAAACATCTAATAAAAGATGTAAAATTGAGGGTAGAAATTATGAGAGAAACAAGGAAGGCATTAAGAAGATGCAAAAACGAAAAAATAATAAAAGAACAGTTCCTCAAAGTTAGAGAAACATACAGGAGTAAATACAAACACCAAAAAAAAGCAAGAAATAAAGGAAGAACCACAGAAGATAAAGAAAATTAAATCAGAAAAATAAATACAATAATACATTAATAATAATAGGAAGTAAGAAACTGTAAGCGAAAAATTTGGAATGCATAGATGGAAAAACAAGAAAAGTGCAGAGAGTACGTACAGAAAAACAAGAAACTACCGAAATCAAAGAAAAAGACGAAAATTATAAAGTAGAGTCATTGACCGAGAAAGAAGTAAAAAGATAACTAGAGAAATTAAAAAGGAGAAAGAGAAGGATGGGATTTCAAATGAAGTATGGCTAAAGGCACCTGACGGTGTAATCCGCAGAATGACAGAAATAAAATTATGAACGGGTGTGGATAGGTGAAAGCATATCAATACAGTGGAGTGAAGGAACAATATGTCCGATATAGAGAAGGACGACAGAGAGAAGGCTGAAAACTATAGAGGAATAACTTTGTTAAATACAAGCTACAAATGGTATGCGGTGCTACTGAAAGGCTAGAAAAGGAACTGGAGAGCGAAGGATTGGTATCAGCAAGCAGGGTTCAGGGAAGGGAAGGGAACAATGGATAATGTCTATATATTGCACAAGAAAGCAAGTACCATGTATGTTCTCTTTGTCGATTTAAAAGCCGTACTTGACACTGTACATAGAGAAAAGATGAAAAAATATTTGAAAAAGAAAAAGTATAATAAGTGAACATCTAATACACAGAATCAGCATAAAGAACTGTATACAAACACAACGATCAATGTAAGAGTGAATGGGAAAGAGAGTGAAAATTTTGATACGATAAAGGGAGCAAGAAAAGTATACCCGCTGAGTCCAAGTCTTTCTACTGCTTACATGGGAGATCTTGAAGAAATGTTTAGTTAACTACTGGTAGGAGGTAGTGATTGCAGCAAAGAAGCTTTGGGTGTTGGAATATGTCGGTGACATTGTAGTGTTAGCTAAGTCGGAAAAAGAAATTAAAGAAATGATTAGAATTCTTGAAAAATATATGAGAAGGAAGGCATTTGAAGTACATGTGGATAAGATAAAAATAATGAAAGGTAAGGAAAACGAAAGGGTTCGGTCGTGGGGGACACGAGAAATAGAGGAGGTGAATGAATTTAGATATTTGGGGTTCTACTTTAACTCGATCAACTCAATGAGCACACATAACGAACGTATGCAAAAGAGCTAGCAAGTGATTATTATGGGGAATTGCAGAAAGGAAATTTTGTGACGATTGGAAAAGAGGGTTGATAGTTTCGTTAAAAGTGTTCTAATGTATGGGGTAGAGACCTGGGGTGGACAGAGCTTGAAGAGGTAGAGTAGAATCCAAGAAAGATATTTGATACTAGGTCTTGATAGAAAAACACCGGGATACATAAAGAGGGAAGAAACGAAAAGAAAGCGGATCGCACTGTCACTTGTGAATTGTCATGTCATGTCACCAATATTTCGCGTCTAAACATCAACAAACGTGGAATATTAAGAAAAACCAGTTATTATATTATTTATAAAAAATTACAACTCTGCACATGTCAAAAGAATGTAGAGTTGTCTCGTTTCGGAAACACCACGGATCTGACAACTTACACCTCTACAATGGCTCATCGCAGGCGCTTGATTTGTATGTGACTTTAGTTGTTTTGACAGCTATAAAATATGATTTGTCAGTTGCAGTGTCATCAGTGATCACTTAAAGCTAAAAGTAAAATATATTAAAGAAAAAAAAGTATTTTATTATGGCCGCAAGGCAGCAACCCGAACAGACTCTAACCGAGCAAGGAACAACAAGGCAAGTAAACTCTAAATATCTAAAACAACAGTGTTGCTTAAGTTTTGGTAAAAATTATGTAATTTTTCTCTTAAAAAAGCATATTTTAGACCATTTCTTATTGTACAAGGTACCGATGTAACTGGTCAGAAGCACCCAAACAAGTAGGTCGCAAAACAAAGTAAAATGAGTCATAAAGCGATTATTTTCATAGTTACTTTATAACTATTATGCACTGTATCAAAGGACTTATTGGTACAGGAATATATGCAATGGGATCAGCATTCAGCAGCAGTGGCATGTTGCTAGGACCCGTTTCAGCGGTTTTTGTTTGGTTCTTAAGTTTACATTGCCAACACATACTTGTAATATTTAATTATAATAACTTAAAAGAACATTTATTAACTTAGCATTTAGATCAAAGCTTGCGTCAAAATAACTGACAAAGAACTAGTTGAAGTACTTCCTTCTTTTGCTGAAACAGTAGAGTATACTATGGAAGACAGTTCGTCCAATTGGATAAAGAAGCTCTCAAGGGGATCTGGAATAGTAACAGATGTATTTTTACTGATTGCGCAATATGGATACTGCGTCGTGTATCTCGTTTTTGTTTCAAGACATATCGGAGAGGTAAAATAGTTTTTTCAGTTTCTTTAGAACATTGGAATTATACTGCACACAGTTTTGGAAACGGTGAACCACTTTTGTTATACATGCGTCCAGGGCAGTACTACTATACAGTACTGTAGTCACTGACAAAAAATATTTGTTTAAATGAAATGTTTTTAAAAAGTGTTAATGCAAAATGCTATTATACTACGAAAATATTTTCAGCAATTTAAATATTTTAATATGGAAAGTTTACAGATCAAAAAGTTATAATCCGGCGGTCGGGCAGGCGAACGGTTTGGTGAGAAATTGGTCAAATCTGAAAAAATATTCTTTGTAACTACTTTTTATAAGTTTTACCCTATTACGTTTCATAAAAAAATATTTTACTTCTGCAACACCCTTTTTTATTTTCAGATTGCAGCGGCACATGGCTGGGAACAAAATTATCGAGTTATACTTGTTATTGTGTTGATACCTATGTGGATTTCAGCTTTATTAGGGAATTTAAAATTACTGTTGCCATTCTCAATGATTGCAAATATAGTCATGTGGATAGGTATTGTATGTATACTTTATTACTCGGTTCAAGATCTCCCTGACATCAGTGAGAGAGATCTGGTATCACACGCTGAACGTCTACCTGTCTTCTTTGGAATAATCTTATTTGCATTTGCTGGAATAACCTTTGTAAATATTTTTATATTGCGTAATAAACTAAATCTCACAATAATTTCACTTTCAGATAATACCCGTACGATCGGAAATGAAAAATCCAGAGTCTTTTACGAAGCTTTTTGGGGAACTTAACATGGCAATGTTTGTGGCACTAATATTCAGTGTACTGGTTGGTATTTTAGCGTTTTGGAAATGGGGAGATGATGTTGAAGGAAGTGCTTTTTTAAATTTGCCTCAGGAGGACGTGTAATTCTAAGTTTTCTTGGCTTTGTAAAACCGGTAGAATACGAAGATGCCAGTTTTCTGTTTCTTTGTACCTATCTTCCTTCTGTTTGCCGTCTTCTGTTAACGATTTTATTAGACAGAGTTGTATCAAAATTTTCCCAAAAATGGCCACCATCTAACAATGACTAGTAATGTTCATTTTAAATGAACAATGTAAACTCGCATCTCCACATTTTACAAGTAAATAGTTATTATCACTATTATACACTGACCGTCAAAAAAAAAACGGCTACCCTGAAAAATTTCGCAAAACCAAGCTTTAAAAATTTTTAATTTGACCAGTGATCGTTATTTTCATAAAGAACCATTCACTATTGACACATGAGATATAAATTAGCAAAAAAAAAGAAGCGAATTAAACGCAGAATTAAATTTAATTTAGCAAAATAATAGAAACAGAGCGACACTTTGAGAGACGTCTAAGGGTTAACGGAATTATTTTCGCATGAAAACGTTTATTAATTGCCAAACTTATAATAATCAAATGATGAAAAACACTGTTTACAACAACAGCCTCCTTGATTGCTTTTTTTAAGAAAATATCGTACCTGGTCTGTTTCTGTTATTTTGTTAAATTAAATTTAATTCTGCGTTTAATTATTTTCTTTTTTTGCTAATTTGTACATCATGTGCCAATAGTGAATGATTATTTAATAAAATAACGATCACTAGTTAAATTAATAATTTTTAAAGTGGTTTTGTGAAATTTTTCAGGGTGGCCGTTTTTTTTTGCCGGTCAGTGTACTATGTATTAAATACGAGTACGCTTCTAGTTACCTAACGCTCTGAACAATACTTAATGCACAGTTGACTTAAAATTTTTGCAGGCTAGCTCAAGTTACAAAGATTTTGATATCAATTAGTGTGATGTTTACTTATACACTGCACATGTATGTACCGTTTGAAATTTTGTATCCCAGATTTAACAGAAGATTTGGACCTTTTAAATATCCAGTGTTGGCAATGTACCTTTATCGATCAGCTGCTGTTCTTATGACTTGTAACTGTGCTTCAATATTTTCAAACATTTTTAATAGCGTTAAGTTTTAGATGCCATGGCGAACATATCTTCAAATATAGCACTTTTTATCGCTTTGGTGGGAGCTGGAGCTGGAGCTGTACTTAATTTACTATTTCCAGCTCTTCTTGACCTAGCGATGGGATATGGTGAACTAACTGTTGTCGTCATTATTAAGGATGTGTTCATCATAATTCTGGCTTTTGCTGGAGGTATTACTGGAACTGTGTTATCTATAATTGATATTATTAATGAATTTGAATAAATGGACATTTACGTTATCTCGTAGCACATTCATTTCCTGAATTTCAACATTTTTTTAAAAACAACACATCGGAAAAGATAAAGTTGTGCAACTGTGCGCATATACAAAATTGTAAATCTTGAACCTTCCTTGTAATTTTGCTGGAATTACTTTTCAAATCTGAATCGTGTGCCCAACGATTAATAGAAGAACTCTTTTGGTACCCATGTTCCGTTGAGATACACAGATGTTGCATCTTAACTAGAATTTAGAATTTCAAATTTTCTTAAAAATTTAATTTTATTAGCAACGATATGTGTTTCTTCATATAAGATTTTGCGACCGTTTACTTCCCTGTGTTTGTAACCCATAGACTTAAACATAATTTTGAACAGTGTCGTTCTCCCTCCCTTAAATTCTGAATTGTTTTCGCACATCAACCAAAAGTTTGTCTACACTAAAGTATTATTTTTTCATTACATTGCCAAATAAGTTGTTCCAAGTCTTTTCTGAATGCAAATTCACAAAAAAATTTGGTTAGTTTTCTTTTACCAGAGGATGAAGTTGACGAGTTTACATGTTGGTTACAAGAATTTTTAAGCCTGTTTCATGGATCACTTCCTATTTATATATTTTGAAAACAAATATCTACAATGTCTTTAAAACTTACAAAAAATAGACTAGTAGTCCTCTGGTCGTAGGTCAGGACCATCTGTGCCCTTAACACTTTATTTACTTGTAAACCTGCCTTTTCTGATACTTGAAAACTGGAAAACTAGCATGGGCGAAAGGTACATTCCAGATGTGAGATGTAACGTTAGTCAGTCATGGCCGCCAACAAAAAGAAAAATAAACAGCGTTTCCTCAGGTCTAGAAACATTGTGAATATAATATAAGTTATAATGTACGATTCTGCTGCAAATTTTGTTCCAACTAACGTCTCTTTGTCGCTAAATTTTGTCTGCGACTTTATGTTTTCAACGCTGGAATATCGCAGAGAATATCAATATCGAATAAAATCTGGTACTAAGTGTGCCGCCTACACGTCACATTATATTCCTATCAGTTGTAATGTCATTCATTAATTTGTCACCAGTATCAAATATTTGATGGGTTGTGATTAATTTTACTATGGCGAACAGAGATCGTCCTCTTACGGAATATGGAACAACACGGTTAATAAAAAGATATTGTAGCTAAGGTATGATTTACCTTTCAATAAGAATATTTGTAGACCTTTTCTGCTTGTACGTGGTGCTGATGTAACTGGCAAGAAGAAACCAACCAAGTACGTATATCATTATCAACGAAAAATTAAGAAAAGTTAAGGTAATTAATTAATTAGTTATTTAGTAACAATAATGCACTGCATTAAGGGAAATGTTGGTACCGGGATATTCGCAATGGGATCAGCGTTCATGAGTAGTGGAATCTTGTTAGGACCACTACTAACAATTGTTATTTGTATAATAAATCTGCACTGTCAACACTTGCTTGTAATATTTATTAATATTTAATACAACAAATGAACTAATTTCTTACCACCAGATCAAAGCATGTGTTAAAATAACAAGCAAAGAACCAATTGAAGTGCTTCCTTCTTTTGCTGAAACTGTACAATACACTATGGAAGACAGTGAATCAAGCTGTTTACAGAAAAGCTCAAGCGGATTTGGAGTGGCAACAGACGTATTTCTCCTACTCGCTGAATATGGATACTGCGTTGTGTACTTTATTTTTGTTTCCAGACATCTGGGTGAGGTAAGCGATTTGTTTAATCTCTGAAGCTGAAGCCACCACTTACACTATTTTACTGGTAAATATAACATTTTAACACTCTTCTGCGTGTCTATTATACGATATGTATGGAATGGATAAACCATTAAGTGTATACTTTATTACTAGGTTGTCTTTTTTTGAAGTATCTGTAATAAGAGGTCACAACTAAAAATTGCTTAACGCTTGTACCGTTACGTTTGACATAACCCACAAGACAAATTTGGTATTATTTTTACCGATTATGCATTAACTAATTGTTATAAAGTTGTTGAAACATATTATTCTGTTGCTGATATAATGCAGCAAATACCTACGTTAAACGTAGCACCATCATCGTAACAAAAATGGAAGATATTAAATTTCGTTGTGGCTCAACTATTGGTAAAATAATATTAAGATATTATAATTAGACAGAGATTTTCGCTAATAATTAATGATGTTTGTATGCATTCTAGATTGCTGAAGCATATAACTGGAAACAAGATTACCGTGTAATTCTTGCTTTAATTTTAATACCAATGTGGATGACAACATTTTTGGGAAATTTAAAAATATTGCTGCCCGTATCTCTAACATCAAATTTTATATTATGGTTAGGAATTATTTTTATAGTCTACTACTCGGTGCAAGATCTTCCTCCAATCAGTGACAGAAAGCTTGTATCCAATCCAGAACGCCTTCCCATGTTCTTTGGAATAGTCTTATTTGCATTCGCTGGAATAACATTTGTAAATGTTGGAAAACGTAACAACAAATTTAATTTCTAATAGGGGACATTTTGTAGGTAATACCCGTTAGAATGGAAATGGAAAATCCTGATTCTTTCACGAAGCCTTTGGGTGAACTTAACATGTCAACACTTGTGTCGTTATTGTTATATCTTCTAATTGGTTTTTTTACCTACTGGAAGTTTGGAGATGATATCGAAGGGAGTGCTTTTCTAAATCTGCCACAAGATGAAGCGTAATTTAATTTTACATTTACTTTTTTTAGAATCCAGAATGGATTTAGTGATTGATAAGAGCTTACTAATTTATTATTATTCTACTATACGATATAGGAGTAAGACGACTAAATCAAATCAGAACTAATCGACAATAAACAAATCTTAATTTTTTCCTCAATACCGTTATAACAAAATAATAATAAAGAATTAAGCAATATGAACAATAAAACAATAAGGGGTTGCTATTGCAGTGATAACAAACGAAGACGACATTCAGTCTTACACTTGATTCTAAAATTTGACAAGTATTGATACTTAAAAAAACCCTATAAAAAACAAAGACCATTTAAAAAGTTTGAAATTAGTTGAGTTCACCGCCACGGTCGACGCGCTACTCCCATCTTCGCGCAAACCAAGCCGATTCTTATTATGAGTTAAAGATCTTGAAATGCCTGAGGTGATTTATTACCAAACATAGCTAAGACTCAAACCTGCATTTGTCTATGTAGTTCTCTCCCTAGGGAGCAAATATTCCATTTCCTTCCCTAGAGAGCAAATGTCCTATTTCTCTTCCGATTTTGCGGTCATAGAAACCGAATGTTACTTCAGCGTGTGCAAAAATCATTTTTATTCACAACATATTTTTACAGGTTAGCCCAAGCTACAAAAATTCTGGTATCAATAGGAGTGATGTTGTCTTATGCACTGCACATGTATATTCCATTTGAAATTTTGTATCCCAGATTTTATAGACGATTTGGACCCTTTGAACGACCAAATGGGGTAATATATCTGTACCGATCGACTGCTGTTCTAATAACCTGTATTCTTATTATTTGTAAATAGATTTTTCATTTTTATTAAGTTAAATTTTAGATGCCATAGCCAATATATCTTCAAATATAGCAACATTCATCTCTTTGGTAGGAGCTTTTACTGGAGCTGTATTATCTATGATTTTACCGGTTATTTGTGATTTGGTGATGCAATACGGTGAATTAACATACTATGTAATTATCAAAAATGGGTTCATAATAATTCTCGCCATTGCTGGAGGCATTACTGGAACAATTCTGTCTATAATGGAGATCATTGATGAATTCACAACTTCAGAAGAATAGACTCTATCAGGAAACTGCCTCATCTTGAAGAAAATTACGTGTAATTATTGAATGGTATCTGTTTCGACACCAACATAATTGAAATTCATATACGTAATTTAATAAATAACGGTGTTACCTCAGTTTCTTATAATATACCGATAAAATCGAAAATAAAATAAATTATAGTTGAAGTTGCAATGATCAAGCTTTTTTGATAGGTGGGTGACAAACTTGTCAATTGATAGATGACAATGTGTAGTACCACCTATACAACAAATTTGAAGCCAACTCTAACTCGTTTCATTTTTGATCGAAGGGTTATTTTGTTTAACAGCCACTCATCTAAAGTATATTCGAATTTTATCACACACATTCAACAATTACTCTGCCAAAAAAAAGTTTATTGTAAGATAAATTATTTTCAAAAGTGTAGCAAATTTAAATGCAATGAAAGCTAAGGTTTTGTACACTTGGTACTATTCTACTGTTTTTCATTTAAAACATTTCAAAGTGAAATGTCCGCACTATTGTTCTAGATCGGTTCGCGATACATTGAATTCTGTCTAAGACGATATGCTACGTCATATTAAGTAGTGGGTACCAAATTAAAGACGCATAATCTAATTTATTTAAAATTAAGTTAATTAGGTTTTCATTGTATAGGTATTTAGATAGGTACTCTCACGATGACGGCTAAAGATTAGTAATTTGTTAGCTCAGTTAGTTACGCGTTCAATACATATGTGTGTTGAACGTCAAGCATTCATCAAATATTACACCAGAATCCTGGACTGACTTTTTGTTTGTTATGTAAACCCATCAATTTAATATGAAAACAAATGCGCAGTATCCCCAGTACAAAAAATTTTAGGCTGTATTTTGAGATCGTCAGCATAAGCAAGAACGGGACAACTGTGAGATAACAAGTCATTAACGAATCTGTTGAAGAGGAACGGTCCAAGATTAGAACCGTGCGGAATACCGCAATCGGATATAAATGAATAAATAAGATCTGAAGCAATTATTATAAGAAATATAATTAACGCGTCTGTGTAGTAGAGAAATCAAAGTCACTATTAAATTTAATATGTAAGATTCTGTATGAGATGTAAAATCGAAGGTCTTAGAGAAATCAGTATAAATTACATCAATTTGACCTTGATTTATCGATTTCTTAAGTTAGTTTCTCACTTAGCGCAGATAAATTGGTAATAGTATTAGTATTGGTACCGTAATATCTACTTCTGCTCCATTACCTTTGAGAAGTTCAATAAAACAAATATTGGCCGATAACATATAGGAGTATAATTGTTGAGCAGTAAAGATTTGCCTATTTCTAAGTATGAGGATAACTCTCGCAATTTTACATCGTCTGGGTAAATATTTGTTTTTAAGGGTAAGTTAATTATGCAAAGCAGTAAGACAAAAATAGATCTACAGTCTCGAACAAGAATATTTGGAACTGAATCATCACCGGCTTTTAATTTAATAGAGATATTTTCTATACCCATTATGCTCCAGCCACATAGTTGACAATTCTAGACTTTTGTTTTTTGAAGGGCATAAAGTTTTGATACTGCCGAAAAATTTGATTGTAGTTCAGGTCCACATGGTTGAAGTAGACACGATATGCACTATTTTACTCTGAGAGATCTCCGTCTTTTATATTCATTATAGCAGACATTATTTTTGGTTCTCAACCACATGTATTTTAAATTATCTTTGGTTTTAATATTACTGTTAATTTGATTCGTAACCACGATGAAAACTTATAACATGAATGAAGTACCCATGACACATCCAGTCTGTTTTCAAGAGACCTTCGTAAAATTTCAGATTGTCGGTTTTTCTGATGTAGCGTGTATTATTGGTTTCGAGAAACTTATGATAGCAGTTGATGCCAAAAATTCTAAGTTGATTGCAAGTGGGGGATGGTAATGTTCTGGTAAACAGCTGGAAAATAATGTTCCAAATCAATTGCAAAACTTTTGTTTTTTGTAAAAAATAGATCAAATAACTCCTGATTACAATTGCGTATTGTATAAACTGTATGAGTAAAAGAGAATCACAAACCTGTTGAAAAATTTTAAATGTGAGGAACTATGAAGTTGCTACGCCTCGTTCTAATTTAAGTGACCCAGGGCTGTCATACCCCAACGAAACGAGCATTAAGCACCGGCACTCAGGGTTTCGCTGGGAGCAGGGTTCGTGGTTCAATTTATTTAGGGCGCCAGCAACGACCTGCTGAGTCACTTACGTTCCCGTTGCCGGAACGATAACGGTAAATAAAAAAACTACTTGGTCTTTCCTCCTCTCTCACTTTAAACTTACCTTCACTTCTGACTAAACTGTGTGTGCACTGAACTTGAAGCAGGATAAGGACACGAGTAATCCCCTTATTAAAATAGTTTATTTACACAGGAAAATAATGACAATTCTCATTAAGCAAAAAGAAAAAAAATAAAGAAAAGATTACTTCAGGTTTACTAAGACTGTTGGAACTACAATAACGCTCAAAAAAAAAGATGTCTAATACTGTGGGTTTCCAAAATATCTGACTAGAATCTAGTCATGAAAGCGCGAAAAATAAGTACTTATTTGAACGCTCTGCTCTCGCTATTAAATACTTTTCCCCAAACAAAAGAAAGATTAGAACTCTTTAACAATACTGGAAATATGAACTTAACTCTAAACTTATCTGACTACGACCTTCGTTGCTCCTCCTGGCTACGATTCGTACTTCAAAAAATATACTGAAGTCGACTACGTGGTGACCTCGACAACAACAACAGCTCCATCAGAAGCTCTACCTACTAGTGCTCTTGCTTGACCCTAGTGCCACGGATAATGGCCACGTTGCCTTTCCACGTGTCTTTACTTCATCACATCACGTTCAAAATTTCGGTTACGCTCAAAATTCTCTTGGCTATCACAACAGCATGTCCTGCTTGATTCAAGACCTCAAAGAAAGCTTTTTCGGTTTCTAATCGAAAAATTTCTATCCTCTACAAAATGGCGTCCTGTTCACAAAAAAACGTGGAATGGATATCACCCAACTTCTGGCTCCAAAAATACTGGTGAACGGAATCATCCACTTCAACAACGAGTTTGCTTTACTCTAGCTTTAATCCAGCCTTATTTCCCTAAAGTAATTAACTTTAGCTAGAGACCAAAATCAACCGAAATTACCTTATCAAAAGGGATCTCCACGTGCTTCGCACTAACTCGTGGCTACACAACTGCGGTCGGCAAAACTTACAAATATGTGCCCCAGACAATCTCCCATCGCCAAAACTCAAACTTCGTTCCTTCGGGAACCTCACAAAATATCGATGGAGACCGATTTTTCTGGGCACCACACTAGCGTCCTTTCGCCATCTTTTCTCCGACCTTTCTACCACGCATCATCGCACGCATCCCATCGACTTAATCATCGATCAACCGTAGGCCTTTCAATCGATCAACCATAGACCTTACAAAAATAGACTAATTTACGGTCTCGATGCGAGAGTCGGGTAGGCAACCTTTTTAAAACGCGAAATTCAAAAGTTGAGCGTAACACTCGCCTCCTCCAAGGAAAAGAAAAATGATTTGAAGAAGCATTTTTCTAAAACGCTCACCACCGTGTTTTGGTCTGACGGGGTTTGCAGAAAAGAAAAATAAAGAAGAAAGTTGAATAGAAGACAAATCAAAATAACGAAAGAGTGGCTTAAGCCGTAAAATTGTACTTAACCTACTAAAACGGAATGTCAGATAGAGGACTGCACTCATCCAACTGAAAGCACCAACCAAACGACGTTCTGACCTTCGGAAACTACACGAACCGAGGCTCCGCTCTGTCAATTCCTCGCGAAAGGATGTTCGAGACGCGTCGTGGCCATCGACAGGCTCTTGAGCTCGACCAAGCAGTTCTTTAGGCAAGAAAATCGAATGTTCTATACCCACAATCAAAGGTTTACTGTTCTGTACCTAAACATCCGGTAAGAATCTACAAAAAAATATCTCGACAAGATAGAACTCACGCTGATACATCACGTCCGATCCCGTATCACAAAAGTAAACTGACGCACTGCCAAAAAATAAAATTAGAAGGAATTTCATCCTCGATCGGCACTTCCTAACAGCCCTGAGAAAAATCTTACCGACCCTCGCCTAATGCAGGGAGTTTTTCGACTTCATGAGTCTCGCGGTAGGGTTGTAGAAAACTAACTAAAAAAACTAAAAGTCAAATCCTGGGGTTAACGTGGTGTGGTAGTGTCCACCAAGACGACACCACGTGCTGCTTCGCTGGCAGCACGGTCTCGCTCACCGTGGCGATACTCCATCGGCCAGACTGTACAAGTCATCTGTCAAATGTCCGTCCTTTTCACCAAGAAAATGTCTTAACACACAAAAAGGTCCTTTATGAGGCTTCGACAACTGCGCGTGTCACACGGCCAACGGCGTCAAATCGGTAATGGTCAAAATCGTTAAGAGTCAAAATCGGTAAGAGTCAAAATTGGTAAGGGTCTTCCTCATAAGGATAAAATGCTGAAAGTTGATAACAAAAACATTACTGGCTGGACTGACTAACGTCGTCGGTCTCCTTGTATGGCTTAAGATCTTGCACATGCCAATCCCCTGCTGGTGATCCGTCTAGATTTTTGAGGGTGTAGACCACAGCAGACTTTTTCTTGTGAACGACACAAAGAACAAACTTCGGAGCTAGTTTAGCGGCAAAATAATTGGCAGCGTTTGATAAGACCTTGTTCCTTTTCCATACTTTATCACCTGGTCTGAATGAGATAGGACGACGACGAAGGTTATACCTCGTAGAAGCTCTCTGATAAGCTTTCTGCAGACTTTTTCGAACTGAACGGTATAATTCCGGAAGTTGCGATAATTCCTCGCCGTATTGCTTACGGTCTTCAGGAAGCAAAGGGGGATACGTATCTCCATTACTACTAGTCTCTGGAAACTTCCCGTAAAACTCTCCTGATATAGGAAGAATCCTTCCAAAATTCAAAAAGGCGGGTGTAAACCCTGTAACTTCATGAGTTGCTGTATTCAACGCAAATTGGATGTGAGGAATGTGTTCATCCCACAGCCGATGCTGATCTGTCAGAAATGACCGAATCGCTGTACCTAT